CCCTGCATGCGCCACTCACTCTACATTGCACACTGGAAACACCAACAGTGGCTCTGGCAATCCACACACATTCAGATACAGCTACCAGTAAACATTTGATCTTTGCACTTAAGCACATGAGTGCCAGTCCACACACACACACACACACACACACACACACACACACACACACACCATGCATATAAAAGAAGCCTATGTACAATAATATTATACCTTTTTAATCTGACTCATTTGCAGCTTTGGCAAGTGGGCTGTCTGTGCCCGGTGTTGTGCCCACAAGAGTCAGAACAAATCACAATTGGTTTTGGTTGTCCTTCCTCTAAATACATGGAAGCATAATTTGATCCAATTAGAAAAATAAATAAACAATATGCCTTCTGTTCCAGTGCCTTAATGCACGTCTAATGCGTCCCCATCCCCCTACCCTCACCCTTCTTCTAAACCAGAGATGTAGTGGAGGTTAAACCTTGCAACAAAATGCAGCTTCCCGATCTTTCATTTGTGGAGACTGAACTGATGAAATGTTGTAATAGGCTTCATGCAGTATTATTGTGTGATTTTCAGTAAAGCGTGTTTGAGAAACAGGTCTTTTAAAATAGATAACTGAATGATTGCTTGTGTAGATATGTTTTGATAGTATGAGTTGTTTGACTGGAGGTCCTAATTTATCTACTGCATTGTCACTTAATGCATAAAACTACAGTCTTTTATAGCTTCACACATAGGTGGCCCTGAGGAATAATTACTGTAACACTCCTATAGGAGTTAGAATGCCTAAGATATACCTTGACCTTATCATACTTAATGGACTGTTTATCTCCTATAATATCACCATAATCTTCCTCATGGTGACGGCTAGAATATCTGCGCAGCTTTCCACTAAACTGCATTAACCAGTGACTAGTGAGTTTGGCAGGTGAATGAGGAAATTCACAGGTTGGTTAAAAAATAGCCTACATTCCTTTAAGCAGCAGCACAGGTCAACAATGATGAATTTTGTTGTTCCACCGTTTTATTTTCTCCCTTTCTCTTCTTTTTTTTCCTGGCTGTGTGAGCGCTGTGTGACAGATGGCGGAGCCCTCCTCCTCCTCCTCCACCTCCTCCTTCTCTCTCTCTCTGTTCCTCTCCCCCTCTCTCTTTCTGTGTCTCTCTTCCCTCGGGAGGGCAAATCTCTCCGAATGCGGGCGCATGTCAATCACCGGGGTTTTATGTGATGGCTCTTGCCGGTGACGTGCCAGCCGTATGGGCGCTGGCATCACAGCATTTGCTGGTATGTAACCCATCCACGGTAGCTCACGGTTGCCACACGCGCACTCACTCTCTCACACACACACACATACACACACACAAACACACACACACACATGCCTACATGCTCACTTACTCGATCACACGTATACACATAGACACGCCAAGACGCACGTTCGTTCCTAGGCTCCGGTTATTCGAGTGCGCGCACCAGGAGAATAGCATCACCAAACAACTCATCACCGCTAGTGAGAGAAAGCGGTGTGCGCTGACAGGGAGCGTCGCTTCGCTCGCTCGTGCACTCCCTGAAGATGGTCTGAAACTCAAGCGCGTGTTTTTTCCCTCCCATCCCCTGTGTAGAGCTCCAGTCGAGGTAAGTTGGAACATAAACAACATTAGATTAAAAAAAAAATCCTGGATGCTGATGTGCTCGTCCAAAATGGAGGAGAAAATTAATCGAGGCTAATAAACAGATATTAATGCAAGATGTTCATCTGTGTTGATGTGGTTCTAATACATAACCGAGTGGTGTTTGGATCGAAACACCTTTGCCGTGTTTACTGTGTGGGGTAAAAGCCTAATCAACTGGCATGAATCCATTTGCAAATGTAATGCCATCAGTTGCCATCAGTGAACTTGCTCCGGTATCATCGTATCGGTCCATCATGTCTCTTTACAGCGCCTGTTCTGGCGACGGTAAACTTTTAAAACCCATTTTAACCAAAAATGTAATAGCCAATAGGCTACACAGTATTTCCACGTTTTCCAGTTTATCGGATTCCCCTATGGGCGCGCTTGTACAAATAGCTCCTCACCCCCTCGCTCCCTCTCTCTCCCCCTCTTTCTCTCTCTGTGTGCCCTTCAACTTTTGACATCCAAACCTACCTGGATTATAAAAGCTAGGATCAGATACTGCGGTCGAGTCAAAAGGCTAACGCCTCCCGGTCCTGGTTTCACTCATCCTGGATCATTCACAGTGGAGCAGTCCTGAGGATTGGAGTAACCCTTACAGCAGCGCACGGGCTGTAAATAGATCTAATCGGACACTAATTTGATTTAGAGATCCCTACGTCTGGACCTTGAATCGGAGAAACAAAAGACAATGAGTGAGCAAGATAAGAATTTCTGTGGGAGAATTTTACATCAGCTCCGTTGCTTCAACAAAGGACGGCCTCGGGCTTAATGGGAGATTTATTGATGATTTTGTCGATGATTTGCACGTTCAATCCCCGAGCAAATGAAAGGGTGGGACAACGCCATTGGCTGTGACAGGCAGTGTGCAGCGTGATTTATCTCTGTTTGTCCAGTTTTATCTCCAACAGTCTATCTCGACATAACATTGTTGTCGCTCTTACTGTGGAGTAAACGCGGGGCCGTGCGAGCTATAGGTTGTGATTTTATATTTAACGAGGGCTAAAAGGATACAAGCGATTTCCATCTGTAAAGGGTTATTGCTGACTAAAAACGTGCTTTGAAATCATGCACTCGTGCATACTGAATTATGTGTGAAATCTATTTTGTGTAAGCTGCATGGTCTGTTAATTAAACGTTGTTGTGTTTTTTTTCTTCTTCTAATTGAGCAAGCCTCCTGAGCCTGAGATTTAAAAACTAGATTTTGCCCCCGGCACACCCCCCGAGATAATTAACCAAGCATCACAGCCTGCCTGACTATGGGCTGCAAGTCTGTCTGCTGCTGCAGTATAGAAGGGGAACATGTCAGGGAGGAAGCCACTGGAGGCTTATTGAAGCTGTCAGAGATCACTTCGTCTCTCTACAGCCTTTCTCTGCGATGGGACTGCATTTACTGATCAAGTGGTAGGCCGTTCAATTTATTTTTGGTTTTCAGATGTATTCATTAGCATGCTTAATAGTTAATTGTTATTAAGTGGGCTAATTGGTTAGTAAGACTTTTAATTATGGTTCGTTATATCTGAGCCAACAGTAATGTTGAGGTATTTCTCGCAATACCTCGCCTATACATCATTATTATTATTATTATTATTATTATTATTTCAGAAACAACAAAATCAAATGTTGATATTTTTCAAGGTGGAAGCAATACGTGGTTGTCCTGCCTGTAGTTTATGATATTAAAATTGCTCACAAAAGCTTTTTACAACGCGTCTTAGAATAAGCCTTAAGTTAATAATCACCGCGACTTTAAACGGAACTCCAGCCTATCAATTAAATAAAATCCCTTTTGCCTCCTCCGAGGAGAGGTGCACGCTGTGGATGAATAGTGTTGGAATGCAGCCAGGAGTGTATATGGGCGTCAGGAGGAGTGAAAGTGGGGGGCCCCATGGGACCTGTAATGTGGCCCCTGCCGCTGGGACCCACTGCGAGAGGACGCGACAGGGCACACGGATGACAGCAGGGAATTAAATGGGGATCCGTCTGGTTGTAACCTAGTGCAAAGCTTTAAGAGCTGATTTCTTACTTTTCATTTTCCCCAAATTCACACTTTGTCCTTGGTGCGATATTTTATGGTATATTAGTGTGTGTTATAACAAAAAGCTACTATAATAATAATTAATATTATTAAAATAAATAAGAGATATACTCAACTTGCATATTACGATTAATGCTTAGGCAAACGATATGCGGATATTTCTGGTGGCGTGCGCCTAATCTTGGATTTCCTTTTCTTTCCCTCCAGAGCCACAATGTTGACCAGGCTTTTCAGTGACCCGTCGCTGCTTCCCGAAGTGCAGAAATACTCTGGCTGGGCGGAGGACAGCGAAGGCGAGGATCCCAAGATCAAAGATGAGGACCATGATGCCCAGGACGACATAGAGGAATCTGAGCTGAGAGGAGGCAGCCGGACGCATTCCGAACACGCCGGGGAAGACGACGAAGACGACGAGGTGGAGGAAGAGGACGACGGAGAGGATACCGAGGGGGACAGGCCCAAGAAACGAGGCCCCAAGAAGCGGAAAATGACCCAGGCCCGGATCGAGCGCTCCAAACTCCGCCGGATAAAGGCCAATGCACGAGAGCGGACCCGCATGCACGATCTGAACTCTGCGCTGGACAATCTGCGTAAAGTGGTGCCCTGCTACTCCAAAACGCAAAAACTGTCCAAAATCGAGACGCTGCGGTTGGCTAAAAACTATATCTGGGCGCTGTCGGAGATATTGCGTTCTGGGAAAAGGCCCGATCTTGTGTCCTACGTGCAGACCCTGTGCAAGGGGCTCTCCCAGCCCACAACCAACCTGGTGGCGGGATGTCTGCAGCTGAACTCCCGTAACTTCCTAACCGAACAGCAGTGTCAGGATGGGGGCAGATACGGCTCCGGCTCCTTCTCCATGCATTCGTACCCCTACCAGTGTGCACGTCTGTCCAGCCCCCACTGCCAGCCGGGCTCGAACTCACACCCGCTGAGGACGCACGGCTACTGCCCAGCTTACGACTCTCTGTATGGTGGGAGCGGATCCCCGGAGTATAACAGCCCCGAGTATGAGGGGCCCCTCAGCCCACCCCTGTGCATCAATGGCAACTTTTCCCTGAAGCACCAAGGCTCCGCGTCCCCTGAGAACGAGAAGGGGTACCACTACTCTATGCATTACTCCGGCCTGTCCGGCTCCAGACCCACCGGGGCCCACAACCTGGTGTTTGGCTCTTCGGGGGCCCGGAGTGGCATTCACTCTGAAAACGTCCTGCCTTACCATGACATGCACTTACACCACGAACGGGCCCCCGTGTATGATGAACTGAATGCGTTTTTTCACAATTAAAGTGAGAACCATATAGTGAGTCCTGTTGCAATCAGCAGTCTCTCCACAGCACACTTTTTGACAAGACTATTCGCCAGGATTTAGGCATTCTGGAAAGATTTCACTCCTTGTCATTGCTGTTTTCCCTTTAATTTATTCAGTATTAAGCCTTTTGTTTGCTATAGTCAGGGATGTAATGAAGGGCGATCCACCTAACCCACGATCTTATTTTGCGCAATAGAATTTATACAGCTTTTTAAAGGCTGATGTAAATTTCCAAGAGGAAATTTAACAAATAAATCATATCAAGCCCAGAGGACGAGGGAATTTTAAATTATTCACGTTTGTATGTGATTTGTGTTTGTATTGGTGGTTGTTTGCATTTTGATGGCTGGAAGACAAAGTCTACCCACTGATTAATTTACCACTACATCACTGGCTACAACTACACCCTGACATCGGGGGTGGTTTTCTAATATTATGAAATTTGACATCAATCAGTGAGAAAGCTAATGCAAGTCACATTTATTCGCATGTACCTGCAAGATTTGCAAGAATGTGGTTTGATGACATCTAAACAAATGCAGAGGGAAACGAGGAACTGAAGGAAATGTGTTAGTTGGGTTGTTCTAGAAGAATCTGTTCTTTAGCAAATCAATCGTTTCGCATCTATGCAAAACCGAACGAGACCAGAGAGCAAGGCAAGAAAGCCCAGAAAGACACTGTGCGTTTCATCAGTGTACTGTCGCTGCACGCACGGGTGCGCGCAGACAGAGACAGACACACACACACACACACACACACACCCACCCACACACACACACACACACACACACACACCCAGCCTTTGGAACTGACACCCAACGAATCTGTCAGTGGCTGGGCTAGCCAAAATATTTTAGCTTCTTAAAAAAAATAATAATTGAAACAAAGAAATCAGACTTTTTTTTAAACTGTATTTATTTATATTGCCTTTATTTCTTCTGATTGAGCCATTGCACTGTATTTTGATTTTAAAATAATTTTTGGTTTGATATTTTCCTTGTTGATTTGCAGTCTGCTATGTTAAGTACGTTTATTATTATTATTATTATTATTATTATTATTATTATTATTATTATTATTATTATTATTATTGCACTTTTTATTGTGTTGTTTTGTAATTAATGTTAATAGTCTATGAAAATGAAGGGATCACATGTGTTGCTGAGCATTTTTCATAAAATTCAAGTCTTTGTATTCAACCAACTGTGTGGTAAAAATAAAACGACAATAAAAGAGACTGTGCAAGTTGATCTTTTCTTACACCCATCGAACAGCACTGGCATCCTAGTAACCATGCTGTAACACAACATGCATTTTGCTTCTCACTCACTCAACATGATCATTCATTTGTATCATCCATTTATATTTGTTTAGGATAGTGGGATTATTGGAAGACGCAGCTAGAAGCTTTTCAGAGACCATTAGCCTGCACCAGTCTTTGTGTTGTTGGATCTATGAGACTGACCAGGCCTGGTGCTCCAACCTGCAGGAGAGCCTCAGGGCCTGGATCATATAAACTGGGACAGGACTTCCCGATGAAGTTCATTGGTGCCAGTGCGTCATTTCTGTTTGGCAGGCAGCTCATACTTGCTAAACAATCTTTCAAATATATGAAGAATTTAAACTGCAGACATTAGGGCGACAGGCTGATTAGAGCCTGATCACCCTGGTTAAAAGCACAGATAATACAGACTAAACACGATTCAAGGTCATTAGCGTAAAAATGATGGTATGCATCATCTTGTCTTGACCAACACCGAGAGGAGGACGTTTGTTTCAGCACTGCGTAGAGCTCCTGCGTCTACAGTTTGGTCCAAACCTCAATACGAGTTAAAAATCTCAAACAATGCAAACATAGTGAAGGCAGTGTCACAATACTGCAGCATATTGTGTGTTTGGCGTTCACGTCACCGTGCTTTAGAACACATTTTCTGCATGGCAAAGCTTGGTGACTAAAACCAAATGCAGACTAATATCATACAGCCATATAAAAATAATACAAACTCGTTTTTTTTCGCTGCCTCACATGTTCTCGAGCTCCGTGCTAATTCAGTAGCTGGCCCACTTGTTGAAAGGTGATTGTATTTCCTTATCTTTTTAACTCTATAAATAGAAGAGCGGACATTGCGGCACTGATACAGGCAGCAGAGCTTTGACACCACTGAGAAAATCTAAAATATTGGTTCTTTTAAAAATATTCTCTTTGTTTTCCATTCTTCGATAATGAATTAATGCTAAATTATAAAGACGACCCATGTCATCGTTTTACTTCGTGTAACCTTAAACACACACCTTATATTTATGATATACATTTCCATCTTTTATTTTTATGGCATCACAAATATGGATCCATTTATCTCGGGCTGTTTAAATCAATAAAATCTGCATGTTTACTGAACATATGAAAGCATCACACACACACACACACACACACACTCTCTCTCTTTCTCTCTCTCTCTCTCACACACACACACACACAATCAATTACCACATCTACGATAACATATGTATCTTTACACAAATATACAAAATATGAAATATTATCTTAAATAAAACACCGGTGACAACACAGACACACGCACGCACAGTGCAAAGGGCAGCCCTTACCGCCCTGGCTGGAATTGGAGCCCTGCCCCGGGACCCATATGCTCCTCAAAATGTCCTGGGTGCTCTCTGCTGTAAGAAGACACGCAAGCTTCGGGTGGTGAGTGATGCTCATCAATATTATTACATGTATCAGTATCAATACCAATAGCTTTAACCATCTTAAATGTGATTATTTTATTAAGATAATTCAAATAAAACTGAGTGAACATTAGCGTTTTGACCCAGGAAGGGTCAAGAGATTATTACAATGGAAACGCATTTAAAAAAATGAAAACGCATTTTACGGGAAAAACCACAAGTGCATAGTTTTTCTGAAGCAAATAATCAAACTCTTTGCTATTAGTGATCAGTATTCCTCCACTTTGTCAGGAATTGTGGTATAGAAAAGGCCATTAAAGAGCCAGCTCTTGTGCAGAATAGGCCCAATAGAAAAAATGTTTTGCAAAATTTAGTTTTTATATTCCAATACAATTAAAATGCAAGTAAAGCTAAATAACAGCCCAATTTAACCAACAGTTTAAACACATTTCCATCAGTGTTTGGAATGGAGTAAATTTTAGCTAATGTACGTAAAAAGACAGCCTGTATATGCTTTTGTATGGAAAATACATTAATGCAGAATAACTCACAAAAAAAGAATGACGGTGTAATTACAGGAATATACATTTTAAATTAAAAAAAATATTTGGCTACTGCAGTTTTTCGTTCTGTACACTTGTAAAAAGGCTGTAGTACAAACTTATTATCATAACTCTGTATTTTATGGGGCGTTATAGTGCGTGTGTATTTTTAATAAGCCCGAATCCGAAAATAAATTCCAGTTTATTGGCAGTGTTGCGTCTTTGTGGTGCCTTTGGGGCCCAGTGCTTTAGGTTCGATACAAACCACTATTACATACATGTGCTGTTTGGCAGACACTTCCACCTGTGACTGCATTCGTTTAGTTTGAGAGTCTCTGGAGGGAATCAAACGCGCAATCCTGTAGGCCCAGTGTTTCAAGCTAACCACCAGAACAAACCCCGAGGCCCTCTCTGCTTTTGTGTTACACTTTGGTGTTACTTTTCGGCCTCTATATTTTTCTTGGCTTCACCAGCAAAGAAAAAAATAAGTTGCATGAATTTCTGAAGGAGTCAGTCCAAAAGTGAAGTCAGTCATCAATGTGAGAGGGCATCTATCAAAATACCCCCCCCCCCCCGACACACCCAAACACACTTTTCCCCTCCACCTCCTCTTCAGTCCGGAGAGAGGGAGCGAGATAGAGGCTGGCAGGCTGGTGGAGGAGAGCCGTGCCAAGTCCCTTAATGTTCCCCAGCAGCAGCACCGGGAGCTCCGGAGAGGACAACCCGTGTGTGTGCGCCAGTGTGCCAGTTCACCGGGCCAAAGTGGCACTGCTGGGAGGAGTCGATGTTTCTTTCCTAATTTTTGCAGCATCTGTTCATTATCCAGGACGTTTAAAAACGAGAGCGCACATCCCGAGTAACCCTTCGCTACACGCACAGACACACACACACACACACTCTCAGACATACACAGTAGGGCACTTTTGTGAAGAGTTGGCCTATGAATATACATATTTCCCTGTAATGTTATGTAGTACCTGAGCTCCTGTATTGAAAGAAGGCTGTGCTGCACTCTTAGAATGAAACTGTGGTTGTTAACAGTACGTACATGCGGTAACCTTGCAAGAACACAAAGAGACACGCTAATGTGAAAACAAAGCCAGAATTTTGATTAACCTTCATTAAAATTATGTTATTAAAGCAGTTAGATTTGAAGGGAAAAGTTAGTTAGCATATTGTTAATTGTTGTCATCCAATGGAAACATTTCTGTTTATTTATGTAGAGGATTACAAGTTTATACTAGTAAGCAGGCCTCTGCACGGAGACTGAGTGTGTGTGTGTGTGTGTGTGTGTGTGTGTGTGTGTGTGTGTGTTGTCGTAATTCATTTTTTTTTAACTTTAAAGATGCGTCCCACTCCGTTTATTAGACTGCAGCACATAACTTAACATAATTTAAGTAACATAAAACAGTAATGCTGTTGTATAATATATTATAGTGGACATGAAGGATTTTATACTAACTATACCACAAACTCATTATTCCCAATTTAGTGACTTAATCCTTTAATACATCATGTGCAATAATTTTGCTAGTAAATGTCTTTTTAGTAACTTGCATTTGTAGTCAGTCTTAACCAGTCGTACTAAAAAAAAAAAGAAACTTCCAATGACACTCTGTGCTCCGATGAAAAGTGAGTGAATGAATCTCGCTGTTTAAATTATCATGTTCATGCCCACTCTTTTTCTCACTCAACTTGGTAGGGAAAAAATCAAGTGTTTGTCCGACATAACAGTCAATAGTGCGATTATCAAAATGTCACAAGTACTATGGTGTGAATTCCAATTAACGTCTAGCTAAAATAATAACCGAGTGTTTTAGCAAAATGCATATATCAGATGATAATATGGATATAAAATATGTGAGGAATAAAGGTATTTAGGATTCAGGGGTATTGTTGGTGGTGTGGGGGGGTGTATGGGGGGGGGGGGTAATCTGGTCAGGAGATTGTGAGCATTTACAATTTGTCGTTGATTAAAAAACAAACCATGAGGCAATGCAGTCGAAATAGACACAGCTTTTCACAACCACATCATTATTTGCATTTGAATAATTTATTTATTTAAAGAAAAATGCTACTATAGATTGTAGCCTACACATGAACTTCTCTGGCGCTCGCACACGCTAAAAACGACAATGCTACACATGTGTACAGAGGAAACAATCGTGCACACTTCGGCCAACCTCTGTGCCAGACTGTATGCCAGTGGCCCCACACTGCCAGACAAGGGAGCCTGTCACTGGCAGTCCATTCAAAGGAAATTCCACAACATCTGTTTGTTATCACACAATGGGGCACCGTGCAGCACGGGCAGCGGGGCAGAAGAAGCGGCAGAAGCTAAACTGAGAGTGCCGCTACTGCTGGAGGTCTTGCCAAGGGAGAAACAAGGGCTTCGGGAGGAGGAGGAGGTGAGGAGGAGGGGGCAGGTGGCAGGGAGGTACCGGGTGGGGGTGAGGACACAGAGACAGAGGTGGAGATTCGGGTGAGCGCCAGGTAGGATTCAGGCCTTTGGCGTGTGGCCAGATAGGTTTTGTCGGGGTTTGAGTGGTGCCAGATGTTTACGAGGAGGGGACTGGGGTGTTTGTTCATAGAGTTTGACTACAGAGTTGAGCTAAAAGTCTTCTGGACCTGCCCGACAGTTCTC